CTCTCAGTTTGGTTGGGTCAAACGGGATGCAAATGGGATGGCAGATACCCTAGCAAAACAAGGGGCAAATAGATCTTCATTGTACTGGGCAGAATTGTAACTGGTTGCTGGAGATTGCAGTTTATTCCTCTGCAATCTTTACCTATTGTAACTTAATTTCTCTGTTATTAATGAAAGTTTTTTGCTGATAAAAAAAAGGGTTGAGAAAAGGTTTGCTAGTTGGAAAAGGAATTACCTCTTTGGGAGGAAGAATATTTTTAATTAAATCAACTTTTGACAACCTCCCAATTTATTTTGTCAGTTTTAGGATTCATCAGGTAGTGGTTAAAAGGATTGAGAAGTTAACGAGGGACTTTCTTTGGGAACCAGGGGATGGGAAGAAAGATCATTTGTTAAGATGGGAACTAGTGGTAAAAAGGAAGGAAGGAGGTTTGGGGATTGGTAATGCGGGCCTAAAAAATCAGGCCTTGTTGAGTAAGTGGCTTTGACAGTTTCCTCTAGAAAGTGAGAAATTGTGGCATAAAGTGGTGGCAAATATTCATGGACGATCTGATCAAGGAATGGATGGGGTGCTAGTTGTCTGCGTAGAGATACTTTGGCTGCACCTTGAAATCCATTCATATTATCCTCTCTTGTTTCCTTAATTTTGTAAATTTGACTTGGCTTTTGCCAGCAAGATAAGGTTTTGGGAGGTTATCTGGGTTGGGGAAGCTTTGCTGAAAGATGCTTTCCCCTCCCTCTTTGCTCTTTCAAGCCTTAAAGACAGGCCTGCGACCGTTTTCTTTCAACATCATCCCAATTCTTTTGCGCTGAATTGGAATTTGGGTTTTACCAGAAAACTTTGAGAGTTGGAAATCCCTTATGTATCCAACTTGTTGAACATTTTGGGCTCTATTTTCTTTGATGAGGGTAGTAGAGATACCTGAGTTTGGTCCCTTAACCCTGTTGGGGCCTTTTCTTGTAAGTCCTTCATATCTCTTATTTCTAGTCCTTCCTCCCCCTTCTTTCCTGTTAAAAAGATTTGGTGTGTTTCCTTTCTCCTTATGGTCAATGTTTTTTGATGGGAGGCTGACCATGGTTGCATTAACACATGTGACATGCTTCAGAGGAAAAGACCAAAGTGGTCATTGTCCCCCAATTGGTGTGTTCTTTGTAAATTGAATGGTGAAACGACTTTTCATCTCCTAATGTCTTGTCCCTTTGTTTGTTGTATCTGGGAATGGTTCTTTTCTCTTTTTGGTTGCAGATGGTTCCCTCCTGCCAGTTTGGAAAGGTTATTTAGCCCTACTGTGTTGAGGAGCAAAAAAAGGAGGGGTAGGATCCTGTGGAGATGTGCAAGAGCAGCAGTGGTCTGGACAGTCCGGGAAGAAAGGAATTCAAGAATATTTGGGAGAAGGAGAGAAGTAAGGAGACAGTGGTTGAGGCCATTACTTTTAGGGTGGCTGATTGGGTTAAGACCTTGAAACTTTTCATGGGCTTCAAGGTGGACTTTGTCAGGAGTTGAGGGGATATAGCTAAGTCCTCTAGGAAACATAAAATTCTAGAGGTGTGGTCACCCCTAAGTGAAGGTTGGCTGAAGCTGAATTTTGATGGCAGTAGTATGGTTACCTGGATCCCTCAGGGATTGGAGGAATACTTAGAGAATAGAGATGGGGAAGGAGCTATTTGTGCATGTTTTCAGGCCCAATTGATCTGGGTGATTCAGTCAGGGAAGAATTCCTTGCTGCTCTAGGGGGGGATTGAGAAAGCCAAGGAAATGGGAGCCGATAGGCTGATCATTGAAAGACTTGAAAATAGTTGTGGGATGGTTGAAAAACGGAGTGACGTGGCAGCTGAGAAATGAGTTCAGGCAATTTAAATGGCTTGTAAAAGATATGAATATCCAAGTTAGATGGGTCAGACGTTCTGCTAACAGCTTGGCAGACAGCCTTTCCAAGCAGGGGGTTCAAAGACGACATGTTTCGGGCACATTCGTAATCTCAGTGGGGGGTTAATTATGTAATAGGTTTGTTTTTCTCACAACTTGTATTTTGTTGTTCCTCCCTATTAATAAAATTTATTTCTGTTCTGTTGATAAAAAAATGTTTTTTAATCATTTGACTAGACTACTTTCCCTTTTCTTCTTTGTAAACCTTAGAGGCTTGCCCGGCCTAATTCAACCAGATGTGGAGGAGATAAAGCTGGTATCTGAACCATGCTTGAAAAAAGTTGCTTGGAACTGTTCTAATAGTTAATAATGGATAGCTGGATGTAAGAGTTGAAGTGGTTGGATTTCTAAGACATTCTTGTATTGTATATTTGTATTAAACACTAATATAACCTTGAGCTGAGTTGTAACATATCCATTTTCTTCTATTGTTGTTTGACATTTTTGTTGACCGTAAATGCTAAATTAACCAAATTGCTATAAATACTGTATTTTTTTCCATATACATGAGCAAGCAATGGCCCCACCTTGCCATTAAAAGAGTAATTTTAGTGGAAGTTTATTTTTGGAAACAAATAACTTTATTGTTCAAGTTGAGATAGAAATGGTCCTTCTGAAAAGCATGTATGCCATGGATGATCACAATGGTTCACTGAAGAATTTCATTTGAATAATAGCTTTGGAAACAACAGTATCTTACATGAAATTGTTTTGGAGTTTGCCTACTAATGGTCCCTTAAAAGTGATTTCAGCAGCCGTTTCAAAGACACCTCAACATTCTCTTATGCTATCTGCATTGAAACTCCAATTATACACTATAAGAAATAAATTCTTTGCTCTCTAGAAACTTCATTCAAGATATTTACTATAAACTCTATTTGTCGATTAAGATATGGCATAGGGATTCAGGAATTGTTTATCTTGTGTTTATCTTTTGCATATGGACTGGTATGGTGATGTTGGAAATGCAATGTGCAGTGTCTGGCATGATACAGCAATTCCATTTAAAGAAGTTATTCAACAATTTGAAAGTTGGATTGCCCATCATCGCTTGTGGGAAAGGGAACTGGGAGGACCTCTTCACCGTGCTGCATTTGTAACTTGGTTGGTTGGTCACCATGTATAAATATATATGTTCTGTTCTTATATGAACTTTTGTGTTTAAATGTCTTGAACATCTTTGGAAAATGTTTTACAAGTGTTGGTAATTCCATGTGAATGTGTCTAATAATGTTGTGAATTGCCTAGGGAGAATGTGTTGCCATCAGCTCATCGTGGCTTGAATCCTGTTACCATTGTGTACGCAGATTCTGTTTTGAATGGAACATTAGATGGTTCCTAAATTTATAAATTGTTATAATCATTATGCAAATCAATGCTAGGAAATATTAATACCAAAGAATCTGGATGGTGATGCTCCTTTTTTATTATTTTTTTTCTAAGCCCAGAATTTGTTCTTAGCTTGTTGTATTACTGAAGCATTCCCCCAGATCCATTTTCTGATAACGACACTTAAAACATTTTCAAGTAGAAAGGGTAGGAAGTAAAAGGAATACAGTATGTCAAAGAAAGAAAAATCTACTGTAGAATATATAGGAATCGCATGATTCATTTTGATAGAGAAAATGGAAAAGCATTAAGCCTGTAAAGCTAATTATAGTAATGTTGTCATTCAAATTTAGTTGAATGATATCATTGTGTGGCAGCACTGACTAGACATTGTTTTGCTGATTTAATCTTTCTGTTGTGTATATTAGTGGTAACTGGGATTTTAAGACAAAGGTCCCCCAACAATGCAAAGTGTCAAGTATGAGATTGCCACCGTATTTCATGGAGTGGATCAATTTAAAGGACATCTATCTCAATTTTTACCAGAGGAGGGTAAGCACTCGTTGACAAAATTTACTTTCTGCACTTGTTTGTTTTGAATCTTTTTTCCAGTAAATGGCTGCAAGGAATTTGAAATAATGGCCTAATTCCCAGTAACAGGACCTTTGGATCTTTAATACCTACGGCCTATAGGTATTCTATGGTTGATGTTTCCACTTTTTTAATGGATGCCAGGCCCCAGGAATGATGACCATGATGAAGGAACTTGGGATTCCATTGCTAGGAAGCCACCATCTTGGGATTGATGATACCAAGAATATTACAAGAGTGCTGCAACACATGCTTGCTGATGGTGCAATTTTGCAAATTACTGCAAGGAGGAGAGCTGATTCTCTTGAAAATGTTGAGTTTCTTTTCAAGAACCGGATCAGATAACTGCTTGGCTGAATCTATGTTGTCATGTATAATAGTAACAGAGTTCTTTGCTTGTGAATTTTGGTGTGTCTGTCACCTTTCTACCCCACCCAAGAAGGAAAAAGAAAACAAAGAGATCGTTCTTTTCCATTTGGGTTGTATAGGTGATCCATTAAGCTACAACACTAAGAAAGTTTATATGCTTAGTTGCTTTTTGTTTCGTCGATTTAGGCTGTGTTTGGTTTGATGGAAAAAGTGGAGAAAGGAAGGAAAATGTAAGGAAACCTTTACAAACATTGTATAGACTTCCCAATGTTTCCCTTTCCCTACCTTTTCCTTCAAACAAGCCATAGTCTTAGAGTTCGGTACATGGGAATACAAAATATTACTATTAAGAATCTCGGGATATACCATTTTCCCTCTTTTCTTTTAATTTAATGAAGCCGGATGCTTTGCCAACAATATCATGCATTGAAATCGACTATAGTTACATTTTAGTTAATGTCAAGTACTGTTGTAGGTCCGTTAGTTGCTTCACTGTTGCTAAAAAGCATGGCAATTCCAGGTACTATGTGGCATTCGGTAGTGTGTATATTGTGGATGGGACCAAAATAGCATGGACAGGGATGGGTCATATCCCAATATATCGTCTGCAATATTTTCTCATGGATGGTTCATACTATGTTGTGGATAGTTTGTGGGAAGGTTTCAGTGTAACACACTTGTGTTATATTGGTATAATTATTCTCATTTTATTTAATCTTTTAATAAATTTTAAAATTTTAATATTTTATCAATAAAATAATAATGTTTAATGTTAATTCTAGCACAAGTTTGATAGTTCTTTTCAACTCTTTTTTATTATTTAAATATTAATTTTTAATATTTTTATCAATAAAATAACATTTAAAATATTAGTTTTTTATTTTTTAATATTTAAAGTAATATTTTTAATTATTTAAAAAATATAATTGTTGTCTACATATTGATGTTTTTTTTTTCAATTTATTTACCATATAAAATRAAAAAATTAGACATTTATGATCGACTTTGTAAATTTCCCATAAAATGTATATGAGATACATGGAATTAAAAAGTATTGTATGGGCTAGTCCACGTCACAATTACATAATGCCACTGTGGGTGTAGACTGATTCGATCTTCACAATCCATCAACAGTTCAGAACAGTTGTTGACTTATCATATAGTGTGGATTGGTTCTCGTCACAGGGTGTCGTGTGGACCAGTCCACACTCACCAATTTCTCATGCACACTACTAAACACCCCCTAAATTGTTCAAGATTTAGGTCTTATGTTCTTGTAAGCTACAAGGAACCTGGTTCGCTATTTAACCCTGTGTTCTATGACAACCAAATTTTCCGTCCAAAAATAATGCAATTGATTAGGTGACTATGATAATCTCTGTTAGCTTATCATGTTAACAACCTACAACTCAATTCAGTAATACCATAACTATGAGATCTTGGGATTAGTAGATCCAAACTCTAGAGCTCCACTGCTTAACATGAAAAAGGAGGTACAGCAGGTTGGAACTAGGAACCATGCTAGGTCATTTAATAATATCCATTATCTAGACTCCCATGATCCACAAGGCATGAGCTGCAAGCTGGAATATAGTTAAACCAGTACGTATATTGTTAAAATTGAGATTGATCAGGACGAACCAAAGCTGAAAGATCCGAGTTTAGCACCGATTAAGCCAACAAATGAACTGTCGTGTTTTTTCACAATGCATGTGATTAAACAAGCTTTCTTAATAGCTAATGCTTAATATTCAAAATAACGATACACCCCGATACCGCGGAACCGTATTATTGAAATGTATCGGAAGTCAAAAGATATAATACGTATAGAAATTTTGAAGTTTGCTTAATAGCCATATAAAGGGATGTATATAATGAGTGTTCTCTATATCTAGACATAAATTGCATAATATCTCTCTTGACCTTTGCTTTTATACGTTCTGTATGGAACTTCTGGTTATGGATAGTGTGATTAGATGGAAGCATTCGACTGAAGACGCTGGGAGGGGGGG